GAGCCTGGGGCCTTGTGCTTTGGGGACCAAGAGCCTGGAGGAGAGCAGGATCCACTTGGAGGGGTGTCAGTTGAGGTTCTCTTGTTTGGAAGTCACAGACACTGAAGGGGCAGCTGGTTGGGCAGAGTGTGGACAAGCTCCCGGAATCAGAGCAGCTGGACGAGAGGCGTGGGCAGGAGGGGTGGGGGCAGGGCCGCGGGGGGCCTGTGGGGAGCAGGTGTTCAGTCATCCCTGCAGGACTGTCATGAGCTGCCTGCCTGGCCACCTCTGGGTCGCAGGCTCCCAATCCCCAGAGAGGCAATGTGATGGGCCAGCAGGTCGGGGTCTGCTCCAGGATGAGTCAGTGGTTCCTTCCAGGAGGCTGGGAGCCCTTTCCATAGAGGGCCATGGCCCCGTGTTGGAGGAGGGCCCGTGGCTAGGTCAGCATCTCCCACTGGCCCCACTCTGGTCTCTCTTGGTTGAAAGTGAGAGAAACTCAACATGCACTGGCTGAGCCACCAGGAGACCCTATCCCGAGGTGCACGCACATGACTGCGGGAAGGGCAGGGTGCAGTTGGCGCTCAGGGACTGGAACCTTCATGAAGCCATCCCTCTCCCTCACACTCTCAGCTGTGCTTCTCCCTGTCTGCAACCTTCTTTACCCTCCTTACTGGGATAAGGCTGTGAACTCCTGTGTAGTGCATGCCCTCCTCCACCCTATCCCTGCAGAAGGACTGAGCTCAATCTTCCCATGCTCAGGGGCAGAGGTCCCAGGGAAAGTTCCTGACTGGTACAGAGAGGAGCCCCAGGTCTGAGCATGGACCAATCTCTGTGGCCGGGGGACTGGGAGGAGGTGGTGCCCCAGCTGGAGCCCAGAGTTGAAAGGGCATTTCCTGGGAGGAGGAGGGGCTGGGGTGCCCTCTGAGCAGGGGGACCAGGGATGACAAAACAAGGGAGGAGCTTGCATCCCAGACCTTGAATTGAAATCAGGGCTCTGCCTGAACCTGCCCTGTGATCTGGAACAAACCCCATCACCTCTCTGGGTGGTAGTCTCCCCATCTGTACTTTGAAATGGCTGGACTAAAGATTCAGGGTCTTTCCAGCTCTTAGACTCTGTGATCTGGGCCCCTGGACATGTGGGAGGAAAGGCATCCAGGTGGAAGCATGTCTGTGGGCAAATGCAAGAAAGGGGATGCCTGAGGCGCTTGGAGCAGCAGGTGCTTCAGGCTGTCTCCCTGTGGGGCACACGTGGGCAGGAGCTGGATCGCCTGATCGGGAGCACATAGTGTGCTGAGCTCCCGGTGCCAGCAGGAGGAGCGTGGCCCCAATCCTTGTCCTGGCTCTGTGTGTCTGCCCTGCAGAGACTGCCCAGAATCTCCCAGGCCCCCAGCAGCAAGAAGCCGTGACCCTGCCCCCAAGTCTTCACCTGCAGATCCTGAGCATCCCAGGCTGGAACTACAGCTCCAACCACACAGAGCACCTG